CAAATTAAAAATACGCGAGAAAGAGCAGCCCGTGAAACGAGAATACAATTCCACCACTGGTTCTACTTCGCGAAACTTCATTCTCTACCCTGCCCTCTTATTTTACCAACGCACCGTTAAAACCGTGCAAGAAAATCTTCAAACATCTGGCATAATATGCATTTTGCGTTCCAATATCGATTACACACGGTTCACCTCGAATTCCAGTAAGGATTCCTAACAGAAACATATTCCCGATTAACAGCAGTTCGAGGCATATTTAGAGCCATGGATACATAACCTACCTCTATAAACCTAGATCTTTATCCTCGAACTAAACGGTGAACAACTACAGCGGCCGAAACACGCCGGACAAAAATACCGCACGGTCAATCAAACTGCCTTTACGATCGGCTTTCTTCGGTCGAGTTCGTATCCTCGAACCGAACGAGCGACGGAATGAGACAGAGTTAGAGGGATCGAGAGAGACTGACCACCTGCTGCCGAGCACAATGAATTATACCACGGATTTCATCAAACTGTCAGCAGCTGTTGGACGGACGTCGCTTGCCGACGAAAAATTAAACGTTCTGGATTCCCTATGCGCGAGAAAGAGAAAAGAAGCAAAAACGTATCGGAGATAAGACGCCGGTATTTACCGGAAGCGTCAGTGGCAGTGAGATAGCACGAGCGATCGCGTGGTACGAAGGAAACATCCGCGTGACTACGTCAGCCCGCTGGACAAGCCAGCACGCATACCGACACTTGTTTACATCGCGAACGGTGTTGCGGATGCGCCTGTATGTATATAGGGTCGGGCCAGTTAGGTTTAGTAGACCGGTGCCAGAGTATCTATCTTTGGAACCACGCACGGAGCGCGCGCGCGCGGACACAGCAAGCGTCTCTTACTCAATCGTCTCACGCCCGTGCCGGTGACCAGTGACACCGTTAAACGCGGCCATTATTTCGAATGCGCCCCGCGGGTCGGATATTTCCGTGGTGACCGTAGATAGAGCCGATGGATCGCGCCGTTAACGGCGAAACGCACTCCCGCCGTGGAACGCATTACCACGTACAATGTTGTGCTATCTTTTGGTCGCAGTGAAATGCACGCGTCAGTGACTCTCAACTTTCGCCGTCGTATCTGTTCGATGTCATGTGACTTTAGGAACGATTCAGATGGACGATTTGACAGGAGGGTGAACGTGTTTGACGTGACGATTATGTCCGTGATAAGATATACGTCGACGGAGCTGCGAGGATTTGTAAGATTTTATTGCGACATCCAGCCCGTTTTTATGGAACTGTTGGAATCTGAACCGGGGAAACTAGAGTAGAATAAAGTACAGAAGCTGGACTCGATTTTTCACATTTAAGAATAGATTTGTAACCGTTAAAAATATATTTTTTTTTTAAACTATAGGAAGATTGACTAATTTAGAAAAATAATTTACTTAATTTTGGCTATCTCTTGTATGTACATTTAATTAATCAATAAAAATATTTAAAAAGGAATATAGGAAACTTGATCGATTTAAAGGAGGAATTTATTGAACTTGAATTATTCGAGATCGTTCCTGATAGACATTTTATAGCGCTATACTTGGACTCTAGGAAGTATTTAGTAACAGGCTTACGATGCGTGTTTAATTAATTACTGTATATCATAAGAGTGCAAGTTTGAATAATTAAAACCTCACGATGGGTCGATAAATATAAACGTCACATTACGCTAGCTTGACAGTCTCCATTAATTTACTAATCGAAGTCAGAAAAAGAAGGATAACGTTAAAATTTAATTAATTCAACTATTCTGGAAAAAGAAAGAAATATAAATTTTGTAAAATTAAAAGACTGTCGAAACTGCGGTGTTAAAATGAAAAGTGAACGCAGCGATAGACAACGGTCTAAAAGATGGCGAGTGCAAATGAGTTGACCGCCATGCTTATTGACTTATTGTCAGGGCTAACAGAGGACTGGTTGACCGGTGAGGTGTCGAATCGTGAAGTGGACGTTACGAAACTGCATGTGCAAGATGTTTGCCGAAGCGAAGGTACACGATAGTCGGCGGAACGTACGGAAGCTTTAAAATTACCACTTACGCGTACTTGCGCTAACAGATAAACGCCGTCCAGTATTTACCGATTCACGCTTCGGTAACCTTCGACGTCACTAAAAGTCAGCCATGTACGCTCGCTTATGTGTTGCATGTGTAAACAGGTAACGACGCGAAGAAGCACTTGCGTCAGAGTACTCCATCGGTGCATTAATTATGGCGATTAAAGATTACGGATGATCACAGTGAATTAAGGTAAGAATACAACGCGCACGCCCTGTTACGTGTATCTCGTCACGGACACGGTGTTTAAAATTAATCGTAATTGCAAGCGAGATGATCAAGATGAATCTGTCACGAAGTTTATAACTACGTCACGTGCCGGGGCTAACGTGTTCATTGTAACCAAAGACCTGCATGATTTTCATTCATAATTTGTACTTTCGTTAGCATTAAAGGTTGCGAGATTTTCCAACTATAAAGAAGAAACATTATTTCTTCCACGAGGTACTAAACGTCTAACTCTTTAACGTAGTTATTCTCTTTAATATAAAGTAATTCAAAATTCATTTATTCTCCCAATTCAATTCTACGAATTATATAATTTTATTCCGAAAGTTTCTAACCTATACGATTCTAAATATAAAATTTCCGGTATGTATAGTGCTAAATATGATTCTAAATATATAGAAATGCGAGAAGAAAAAGTGAATACATTCGTAGAAAGATAATTCCAAAACCGGTCGGCCATTTTAAATAACAACCACTCGAAACGCGTCTCCAAACTATGTGACACGGGTGTTAGATAAGGACGTCTATTTACTAGTGCAATAAAGCAAACCGATTTCCCGGCAACTCGTGCAAAACAGATACAACGTTTGCCAGAGACAAAAATATCGGAACCGGACACTTCGGACCAGATCCGGTTCATTTTTCCCCAAGTGGAGCCTGCGCGCGCACGCGCGGCGAAGTTTCCACGAAATGGAACCGTGGTCACGCCTGAGCTACCTAACGGAGGTAGAAAGATATTGTGCTAATGCGTTCCACGTGGGGTCACCGGTAGCCGGTGCACGGGCCAGTACTACCGTACTCGCTTCGCGCATAAAACCGACCTCTCCCGCATCCGCGCACACATGCTAGAAAGAGCCTTGCTTTACGGACAACCTAGCGCACGCCAGTGCCTCTCATTACGAATCTAACCGCGCCCACGTAGCGGTATCGAGGCTGCGTATATTTCTCTGCCACGCCTGACCGACCGTAATAGCACTATCCCCCGTTTTATGGGGTATTTATTACGTTGCGCTGGCTACGCTTTTCTACGAATCTGCAAAAAACTCTTGCGGCTGTTGGCAACCGAGTATACGCGTGTATATGTGCGCGTGCGCGAGCGCCCGGCTACTTCGCGGATTCTATCTGTTCGTAACTCGAGAAAGGCGTGTCGAAAATCGGCGGACTGGCATCGCTCTCGTGTATCGTGTGACTCCAATATCGGACGGCGGATGCGCCGCGAGACGCAGGCATTTCCTTCTGTTAACCCATTCGTTAACCTGTTATTCGTTCGCTGCAAATTATATCCCTCTCCTCTCATTCTCCCGCCTAGTTACCATCGGGAACCGTTTTACTCTCGATATACTTCCACGCCAGTCTACCATATCGGTGGAAAAAATAAATTCAATCATACGTACGGGATGATACCTCGCAACGCGACGCGTTCGTGCCCACATAGAACGATGCACGGTAACGTGCTTGCTCCTTCCAATCCTGCCTATCCCGTTCGACGACAGGGTGCGCAAGCGTCGCTACTCATGCGCGCCGCGTAAATAGGACAGCCACGGTATAGTCCGCTCGTGGAACGAGGTCACGAAAATTAAATTTTCTGATTAACGGCACGCACACACACACCCACCCGGTAACAGCCGGCTGTCACATCGTCGCGCGACATTCCTTTTCTTCTCTTACCTTTCGGGTGATTTCGCCAACCCGTCAACGAGCTGTCACCTCCGGCCTACGTAAACACGAGTCGTCGCTGCAATTCGCCGAGCATGTCATCGATACTGACGATGGCGCGTTATCGCGCGCGAGAACGCGTTTTCCTTTTCGCTCTCTGAAAACACGCCGTAAACGCCGCGGCCGACGGAACAGCCTGGGTACGCGCATGCGCGCTCCTCGCGTCTCATGCGCGCTAACCTGTGCTCCAATGCAACGAGACCCGGCGGCGGTACGGATGACGTATCAAACCTCGTTATGCCTAACGTGCCCCGCTCATATGCGCTTTGCTCTTTTCTTTTTCCTTTAATCGCATCGATATATTCTACAAACTCTTTCGAAAATGAAAAAGAAACAAAACTGTTCCATACGCAAATATAACGAAAAGTGAAACTCCTTTCTCTTTACCATACTTACAT